GCAAACTGCGCGGCGGAATTCGTGATGATTCGAACGACTCTGACGCCTACTATTAGAGCACAAACTTGAAGTAGAGTGGATTAGTAGGATCGGCCGACCATACCCAACTATTCTACTTCAAGTTTGTGCCCCAATAATAGGCGTCAGAGTCGTTCGAAACATCACGGGTTCCGCCGCGCAATTTGCCGCGTGCACTCAGAATCGCACGAATCGGCACACACCCAAATATGAAAAATGAACATTTGGACGAGCTGTCGTGTGTCGTTGCCTACGTGTGGGACTTGGTGCTGATTACTGTAAGCGGAAGTTTCTTTTGAAATTCATTCACTCAAGCATAAACATTACAGCAAGAACTACCTTTTTCATACTCTTTAAAAAACTAGAAAATTTACCTCAGCAGCAAAAAGAATAATAGAAAACAACAGAACAATAGTAGAACACCACCTCACCACTCGGCGATCAGCTAATCTGGTTGCATGCTGAACGTGTGGGTCCTGGCGCGATTAGCGCAACCTGTATTGCCTCGACACTCGTCTAGCATATCATCGGTCAAATCTGGCGATGGAACTCATATTATGCCGTATTACCGAGTTTTCCTTCCCGACAGCGTCCTTTATGTTAACTTCGGGGGTCGCTGGGTAATTTTGGGAGTAAATCTGAGTGACCATTTCTACCATGAACTGTGCCTATGAGTGCCCAACAGGGTCATTTTGAGACGCTCACACAGCTGTTTCCCTTCCAATTTAGCAAGTGACTGTAAAGCAATATGATGTAACGAAATCTCTCTCTAATAGTAGTTGCAATTGAACATCTGTTCCTATTTCCACTGCGAAGGAAGTGGTATCGAGGCCCTCTAGCAACAGTATCGTGGCCTAATGTCGGCGCATCCTTTCGAGACCAGTGATAACGTTATTAAAAACCAGTACAACATTTATGAGTCTGTTCTGGGTATCCATAGCGCCTTTAACTCAGGTGTTTGGCTTGCTATTTGATTTTAATGGGACCTCAAGTATATTTGGCCTACAGGCTTCGATTATGACGAGATGGCAGAGACGTTGGCCGCATAAATCTGTACCACCTTGGCCATGTTTTCTCTATTACATCTCAGACATCAGTGCTATACCCTGAGTTCCATCGTTTAGGGTGGAATCCAAGGTAGGGCACTGAACATAGAAAGGGGAACATGGCTCCTCCTGAGAATAAACTGAATGCTGCCAGAAGTTTTTTCAGCATCCATATTAGCAGCTGAGAATCATCCAAAGATTTATCATCCAAAGAAGGAAGCAGTCTGTTAAATATCTCTCATACCAGTCGGG